CACACACTTACTCACTGGCTCCACACTGTTTTGTCTGTGGTCTGCTTCATCTCCCTCACATTGAAGTCAACATAGTTCTCATTCTAGTTCTAGCCTTTAGTTTCTTCTAAGCTAAATCGCCTCTCCACTCTAAGATTAACTACTTCACTTAGCTCTATCCTCTCTAATTCTTACCGATCTTGTTTCAATATCTCCCTACCTTCAAACTCCTTCATATTCACTTCTTAAAATTCTATTGGTCTCCAAATTAATATTTTTTCTGTTCATAAAAATCATTTCAATTACCCAAATCTATATATTTAACCCTATTCATTCTCTGGACCTACAGTGAATTTCTAATGACCTGACAGTAGATGTTTTAATCCTGATATGTTTAATATCAATTCATAATCTTTTTTCCTAATCCTTCCCTTTTAGTTACTTTCCCCATCTCTGTTAAAACCATCACCTGCCAGCATCCCTAAATGAACAACTGCAGTGGTCCTGCCACTAGCCCTTAGCTCGCTTAGATGCAACATCCTTTGAGACAACTTCAGCTCTTTACATTCCTTTGCCCCAAAACTCTCAACTCCAAATACTTTTCAGATTATATCAGTACACCTCCTGAATGTTTCTTTCATATCTTGCCTTTTCCTTCCCCTGTTTATTCTCATTGGCATCATGCTAGTTCAGGCTATCATATCTTGTAGCAATAGTCTTCTAACTGGACTTCCCACTTTTTATCTGAAATTTATTATCTCTGTACTGCTGCCCAGTTAGCTTTTACGTAAAATAATTTTTGTAATATCACAGATCTATTAAAAACAAATCTTCAATCATGTCCACTGTCTATATGCAAAATATCTAGACATTAGGCATGAAATTCAAGACCCTTCACAGTGTGCTTCAAAATGCCTTTCCAAGATTACAATCCACTACGTTTCCTCGCAAACCCTGATCTCCTGCCATTTTTCAAAAAAAAAAAAAAAAAAAATCCCTATATTTATATGCTTTTCTTTGTTTATAAATTCTTAGTAAGGACAATTGCCCTGGACTCTCTTTTCCTCCTCCTTCCTTTGGGAAATGGTGGTGACTACAGAGGAGAACAGTTGAGGATAATGTTGAGGATAACAGATATGCCTCACTAGCCTTGGACTGTTCTCCGCTAGCCTGTGAGTTAAAGAGAATTAAATGTCTTCTGAGTCAAGGCACTGTATTTGGAGCTGTTTTTGTTCGAGAAGCTTAACCAGCACTTGAACAGCAGCTATCTCTTTCTTTTCTCCATATCTACAGCACTAAGAGCTTCCTGTAATACTTATTGTCCCCTGGTTCCTTCACTTTAAAGTAATGTACATCTCTCCTCTTTTCTATTAGACTGCAAACTCAAACATGCAAATCCACCTTCTGATTTATTTTTTCATCTCCTCCAATTTTTAGAACAAGGTTTTAAACCTAGCAGGAATGTAAAACATATTTGAATTATTCTTATGTTCTTATTTCTCCTCTCTTTCTTCTTCTCTTTCTGGCGGTACATCTAAAATGATTACCCTCCTATTTCTCTACATCTTCATTTCTCTTTAACCTTAAGCTTCCATCTCTGTACAACCTTGCTTTTGAATCCATTGTCTTTTTCCTCAAGTCTATTTTTTAACCATTTTTTGAGCTTCTAATAGCATTATTATTGAATGTTATCTTCTCTTTCAACATCTGACACCTGCATTCCTGCTTCTCTACTCTCTGCCTGGATAATGGGGACAGTCCTCATGGCTCAATCTCAGCTCTCAGAACTTTCCTTCCTCTTTAAACACCTAATACACTGATGGCTGTAATCTCTATGCTGATGATTTAAAACTCTCTCAACTTACAGCCATAAATTCTCCCTCAAGGCATTTCCACCTGTCTCTATAAGTTGCTGCCTAGGCAACTCACCATTACCTCATACTTGAAATGTTTAAAATTGAACTCAATAACTTCTCCCATACTAGCTCTCTTTACCAATTTCCACATTTCTAAATTGATTTGGTACTTCTCTGAGTTCTTGAGACTTAGTTTATTTTTATCTTCTTTTAACCTCTTCCTTAAATAAAAACTATGCTTAAGATATATTAACTTTATTTTATATAATGCCTCTGTGGATGAGCCTAACAACTGTCAGTGCACTTTTATCCCAGTTCTGAATCATGGACTTCCAAAATCAATTCCTACTTGGTTTCCATTCTGACTTGCAAAGCTATCCTCATACTAAGTTATACATCATGCAACTCTCCTTCTCTAGAAACAATTTCCAATAGCTCCTGAATCAGGCTTAACATTCTCTCCGTCTGAATTTCAAGGTTCTGTATAACTGAATATTTTTAACTTCATTCAAACTATTATGCAGACTGGCCAATTGTCTCATTTTGCCTTTATGTTACTCCTACTAGGAAAAAGTTCTCTTCTCTTCAGTGAGTCAACAAACTTGGTTCTATTCTACTCCTTTCTGAAGTTTCATAGTGTTTACTTTTGCCCCAACAATTACTCA